CAGTGAGCAGTTTAGCACCGGTTAATGATTTAATGCACGAGCACTGCTGTAGTTTATATAACAACACTCTCCAACAGCAGAATGGTACTTTTATTTCTTTTAAGTCTAATTCCTAGTCATAATAGAATGATATCTTAGTTTTTTATATGCATTTTATGTCCAGATATGTCCAGACGTGCAGTCTACCAATAACATTAGAGCTACAGCAGTAGGAACGCCCACAAGAGTCTTCACAGCACGGAGTCTAGCGACATACAGCGAAGAAGTCGCTGGCAGTGTGAACGGAGCTTTATTGTTTCTATGGTGGCGCGTCATGCTTGTCATGTGACACAACGCAGCAACAATAGCTCTGTATGCAGAGTAAACTTTATAGTTACCTACACAATCTGTATATGATATCAATAAAAACATGTCGTCAGATTATATTTGTTAGGATCATTATTTCCGTTTCCATAGACATCAGCGTGTATTTTACAAACTATAAATGTATGGTTTTGCTAGTACTTATGTGCATTTAAATATCTGAAACCTAAAATAAGCATTATATGGTTGAAAACACTAAATATTTGTGATAATATGACAAGCGCTCAGCGTATCCGATCTGGCTCGCGCTAGCCAGAGCGCTAGTGTTGTTACGTTCGTGAACGAATCGTTCTTGTTGAACGAATCTTTTTGGTGAACGAATCGTTCTCGTTCACGTAATCCATTGACTCATATTTCTCGTTCACTGACATTCCTCCTATTAGACATCATTTAGTCGCCCAGAGTAAGATTTAGTCGCATATGCGAGTGATTTACTCGCAATGTAGAGGGTTGCAACAGTGGCTGTTCATTTAAAAAAGATCCATATACTCTTAAATCATTTAAATTCTTAATTCATGTTGATTGCCAAGTTGGTTCGAACCTAATTAAGAAAATGGGTTTGTCCTAAATATAGCTCTCCTTGGGGGTTCATTTTATTTCTATCATCTGTGCTTTGCTTTTGCGTGTGTGTTTTATGTAGAGTTACACTCTGTAGTGTCATACTTCTCTTCTGTCTTGGGAGAAGTGTATCATCTCAAACAGATTGCAGAAAAGGCAGGCGGTATTAGCACCACGTTATGTAAATTATCAGGCAAATAATGTTGATATCTGTCAATCTAGTGTATGAGAAAAGCTATCAGTGTCTGTCACATTGAAAATGTCACATAAAAAAGGCTTAATGTCATGTCACATGAATAAGCTGTCGGGATGGTTTTGGTTTGGAGGATTATGGAAGAAATATAAAGGCAATATGTGAAAAACTATTTGGATAAATCGTTGACAGACTTATTATTAAGGTATTTCAATTATTATCAAGTGGATTTAAAATCAGAAAATGGCTTATTCAGTATGCATGACTTTTTCTGACCTATGACTTCTCAGTGTACATCTTTTACATACAGTAAGTGAAGAAATGGTAAAAACAATGAATATATCATGCAGCCCTACAGATAGTCAGAGGTCTGGATAAGGTTGACTAGGGCTTGATTTGTTTGCGAGGGGTTAGACTGGGTGTCTGGGATGTGATGTAATCTGTCCCTAAAAATAGCAGCTAATACTATTGAGAGCGTGGATATAGAAAGGTTGATTGTGATTAAACTGTCCTAGAGTGATTGACATTTTTCTTTTATTATTTTCTGGCTGTTGTTCTGCACAAAGGTCTATAATCCAGGTCAGAGCAGACTATAAAGCTGCTGTTTATCACATTATAATATTAATCTGTGTCTCTCTTTCTGTTTCTTTCAGGATTCTCTTCTGAACACAAAGCAATGTGGAGGAAATAAGGGTCGTGCTGTGCTTTGAATACAGGTGAGAGTAAACACTGCATCAGTTGCGTGGTCAGGGAAGGTATGATGGGCTATAGGCAGGCTTACATGAAATCTACACCCAAAAACATTGGAAGATGCAACTTTAATAACTACAAATCGAACACTAAGTCGTATGGCAAAATATTTTACCAATATTCACAGTTTTCTGCTTTTTTTCTGGGTCTCCAACAAAGAATAGGATGCAACAACAGCATTCAACTGTGTTGTTTGCATAAATGACAGAATCAATCAATAATTCATATATTTGCACATTTTTATATACAATGTGCTTGCACGTTGCTTATGGTTAAGTTTAAGGCTGGGGTGAACTTTCTTTTTTTTTTCTCTAAAGCCCCATTCACACCAAGAATGATAACTATAAAGA